AAAATTTATTCAACATAAAACCATCAATTGATTTCAAATAATTTCCATTATTATTAACGACTTCTGCCCATTTTACAGGCAATTTGCGGATTCCTCTTTCGTAGTAGGATTTTGGTTTGTGTGTGAGACAAGTGTGAGACTCAAAAATGGAGGACTGGAGATGTCAGCCGTCAGCCCATTTTGAGCACTTTCTTCAAAAGAAACCCATTTTGATGTCAATAGAAAAGTTGTAGAGAATCAAAAATTAGGCTTATAGCCAAATTTCCAAAAAGATACACTTAGTAGTTTCGCTTAAAATGCGCACCCGGACATTTGCGCACCTTTTTTTCCGCACTTAGCCCATTAGCGCACCTTTTTTCGCGTTTTAAAAAAGCTCTAAAAGCTAATATTAACCAATTTCTATTCCAAAAGTTGTTTTTCTAGGTAATTTTAGGGCGTAGAATAGAAATTTTGACATATCAGAGCTTGTGGAAGCGAACGGACGGAGTTATAGAAAGAGAAAGAACGACTGTCGAGTCTTAAATAGGAATTTAAAAGCAGAGCCTCGGCAGGATGCCAAGCCACGCCCCCTCACGTCAAGCTCTATATAATTAAATTTAATTTTCTTTCTTTATGTCGGAATGTAAGAGAATATTTCTTTTACGGGGAGTGGGACAAATGCGACCTTTTTTTTGCGCATCCGGACATTTGCGCACCTTTTTTTCGGCACCTTGCCCATTAGCGCACCTTTTTCCGCGTTTTAAAAAAGCTCTTAAAAGCTAATATTAACCAATTTCTATTCCAAAAGTTGTTTTTCTAGGTAATTTTAGGGCGTAGAATAGAAATTTTGACATATCAGAGCTTGTGGAAACAAACGGACGGAGTTATACAAAGAGAAAACACAATTTTCTTTCTGTACAATTTTCTGTAATTTGATCTAGCCGTTTTGTCTTTCGAATTGGTTCCACACGCTTTGTTATGTCAAAATTTCGATTCTACGCCCTAAAATTACCTAGAAAAACAACCTTTGGATGTCTCAAGGATGATGAACACTCTCGTCGACCTCAAGCGGTAGACAACGATACTTTGACGGCTGCAATCGAATCGGATTCATGTCAAACGACGCGTGAACTTGCTCAACAGTTTCTATGTTCAAATTCTACCATATCAGAGCTTGTGGAAGCAAACGGACGGAGTTATACAAAGAAAAAAATCGACAATGTTCTGTAATTTGATCTAGCCGTTTTGTCTTTCAAATTTGTCTTTCAAATTGGTTCCACACGCTTTGTTATGTCAAAATTTGAATTCGACAACCTCAAATTACCTAGAAAGACAACTTTTCAAATAGAAATTGGTTAATATTAGCTTTTTAGAGCCTTTTTTAAAACGCGACAAAAAGGTGCGCTAATGGGCTAAGTGCGGGAAAAAAGGTGCGCAAATGTCCGGGTGCGCAAAAAAAAGGTCGCATTTGTCCCACTCCCGAAAATTCAACTTTTTAATGATTGTTTTCTATTTCGAAAAAGAAATTCAGTCCTTTCAATAGCACCTGTCGCAGAAAATAAACCACTTTTTCAGTTCAAATCAATAGAAAATTTTTCTACTTAATTTCTTGTCTCTACTAAACATTTTTAAGTGAAAAAAACCCGTTCCCGAATCTATTAAAATAACGGGAAAATTGAATGAGAATGAGAAAATGAGCTTAAAATTACAAAAGTGTCCGTAGAATTTTCTCTAATTAAAGAAATTAATTTTTTTTTGACTTGACAACTTGTGAAAGCTTGATAAAACTTGTTAAAGCTAAACAAGTTGCCTCAAAGCTTTGAAACAATAAGAGGATGATCCGGAGAATCTTCAAATCTTGCTAGAAGACTTGTTAAAGCTAAACAAGTTGCCTCAAAGCTCTGAAACAATAAGAGGATGATTCAGAGGATCTTCAAATCCTTTCGCAAAGCCAAACCTGAGCACTACAACACCAAAAAAACTGTTTGTCTGTTTTGATTCAAAAATTTCGTAAAATGATCACACTTCTTACGTCAAAAAAAGGAGATTTAGTTCATTTAGTTCAACAAAATTTTCTTAAATGAACAAATTTGAAAAATCCTCTTGGGAGATGCAAAATTAACAATGCCACATAGTTTTTGATCTTTCAGAAATCTAAAAAAACATGTGATTTGAAAGGAATTTACGTTCTGATCATAAAACAGAATCATTGCTGTTAAAAAAAAGTTAATTTCAAACAAATTCTTTTCATTTCTTGGCTTTGGTGACTTCAAATTGCGTTTTGCGGTGACGTTTACAAGATTGAGTGCACCAGAGGGATTGTGTTTACATTTAGAAAGCACAAAGTACACTGTAAAACCTCGAAAACAGTATGCTTTGATGAAGCTTTTAAACGTTAAATTTAAAATATTGGATTGGAAAAGTTTAAAAGAGTTAAAGTGATTAGGATTTGGTGTAAATCCCCTTTCTTTTGTCTGTTTTGTAAATTGTGGGATTTTTGATACGCGCCCCGCCCCTTCGCCATTGGCAATCTAAGTTTCAACTCAAGTATCTTGATGTCCAATTGTCCAAAATAAATATTTTTGGTATCATTAGATGCGCCAAGTTTTTCTCTATCGATTGATACAAAAACTATTGAAATTGAACAGCTCAACACCAAGAAATTTGCGCTTAAAGTTAGATTGCCAATGGCAAAGGGGCGGGGCATGTATATAAGCCTCTAAGCCCCACCATTGGCAACTTTGAACTCAAATTTCTTGGTGTTGGGCAGTCCAATTTCAATAGTGTTTGTACCAATCGATGGAGAAAGACTTGGCGCATCTAATAATACCAAAAATATTAAGATTCGACAATTGGACATCAAGATATTTGAGCTGAAAGTTAGATTGCTAATGGCAAAGGGGCGGAGCGTGTCCGATAACCGTTTTGTAAGCTACAATTCAACCAGACTACCATTTTAGCTTTTAAAGCTTTCGTCTAATGTTTAGCTTTTTTGAAAACCTCTTTTTAATTCCTGTTTCACTGGCATCATTTTTCAAAAACAATCTCAATGCCTTTGCTAAGCAAAGCTTACATCATAAATCATAATAGCTACATCATAATAGCTACATCATAGTAGCTACATCATAGTAGCTACATTATAATAGCTACATCATAGTAGCTACATCATAGTAGCATCATAATAGCTACATCATAGTAGCTACATCATAGCTCATACTTACATCATAGTAGCCCATTTAGCCAATCTTGCAATGTATTTTTAGAAAGAACAATTTCACCTGGATCTAGATAATGTTATCAAAAGAGAACAGGGTTTTTTTTGGAAAGAACCTAGGGGAAAATGGAGGGGCGGAGCGTGGGTGTTGGGACTGAAGGGGGGTCCCTTCAGCCTTGCCCAGCCCCAAGGCCCACAAAAAAAAACCCCTCCTCACTCTTAGAATGGAACCCAGCCAGTCCCAAATTCCATCTCTATAAGCTCTTTTGAAAATTCTATTTCCCTATTCCTATTCACCAAAGCCAACGGATCATCCGGCTCATTTTAAGAATTTTTCACTTGTGAATCAGCAATTTCTTTGATCAAACTGCAAACTTATAATCGATTTACGAAAATATTCTCTTTACGTAATGGTATGGAGAGGCCGGTGCCCCTTAGAAAGGGTGCCGTCGTCTCTATGTCACCATCTGTAGCCAATCTTCTCGCCGCACAAAGGACAATGCTGGAGATGGAGCCGGAGAAGAAGGAGAAGACACGATTTTTCAAGGTGAGAATGAGAAAATGGTCGATAAAGATCATTAAATCAATCAAAACTTTTCAAAATGAAGCTTTAGTTTCTAGTTTTACTTTACCCTTTTGTTTAAAAGCTTAAAAAGGCAAAGAGGAAAGTTAAAAATGATATGAAAGTAAAGTAAATTGGTGAATTGAAAGCTGCCGGACTTTGAAATAAAATTTATTCAACATAAAACCATTAATTCATTCCAAATAATCTCCATTATTATTGACGACTTCTGCCCATTTTACAGGCAATTTGCGGATTCCTCTTTCGTAGTAGGATTTTGGTTTGTGTGTGAGACAAGTGTGAGACTCAAAAATGGAGCACTGGAGCACCAGTTTGACCACTTTCTTCAAAAGAAACCCATTTTAGTGTCAATAGGAAAGTTGTAGAGAATCAAAAATCAAGCTTATAGCGAAATTTCCAAAAAGATACACTTAGTCGTTTCGCTTAAAATGCAAGTTTTGTGAAAATTTAGCATTTCTTGAAAACGAGTTTTTGAATCGTTCTGAAAATTTGGATATAAGCTTGATTTTTGATTCTCTACAACTTTTCCATTGACACCAAAATGGGTTTCTTTTGAAGAAAGTGCTCGAACTGTCACATATGACAATAGCCGGCGGTTTTCAATTCACCAACCCAATAATTTCAGATATTTAGCTAATAGATTTGATTCCTAAGATCAAGCTTTCATAATTAACTATTCTGGTATATGTTTTTTTCTGACAACGAATCTGTAATGGTCAAAAAAACGTCTAGAAAAGGGGATAAATGTGTGGAAATTGATCGTCAATGAAATCTGAGTTTCCTGAGAGTGGATTGAGGGAAAAAGAAGGAGATGTCTCTTCAAAAGTGCCCCCTTTAGTCGTTATTCGTCGTTTTTCTTATCAAGAATTGTTCAAAAAGGGAAAAGGGAGTGCCTTAGGGAGTTGCACACATTTGACAACCCTCAACTTTAAGTTCATTCTTTTAGAGGATGAAAAGATTAGAGTATTAGAGTAGAAATTGTTAGGCTAGATTGGCTAGATGAACTGGGATCTCTTAATAGGAAAATCGTTTCAACTCAAAGTTCGAAATTGATGCAAAAAAAGGGGAAATCTTGTTGAGTTTGGGATACTGAATCTTTCTTTAACCTTATTCAGTTTAAAAATTGATTATAAAAGCTGCAGGGAGGTTGGTGAAGTTTCAGACATGGATTGACAAATCTGCTTCATAAAGGCAACTGAATTTGTGCTTAAAAGCTACTGTGATTTCCAGAACTTCATTTACTGACAAGATTAAGATACTTCGTTGACTAGGAACCAGCGATTACGGTAGCCAGAGATTACGGTACATTAGCTGCCAACCCTGAACTTGACCTAATCGAGTTGGATTTGTGCTCCAGAGCTACTGTGACTTCCAGAACTTCATTTACTGACAAAATTAAGATACTCAGTTGACTAGGAACCAGCGATTACGGTAGCCAGAAATTACAGTACATTAGCTGCCAACCCTGAATTTGAGCTCATTTGAGCTGTAGCGAGGAAACAGCAGTTCATTATTTCCATGGAAAAAGTACGAACTTCTATTAGTTTTTGTTCTGAAATCAAATGATCTAAAAAGTATGTCATTTTCAAGAGTCAGCTAGAGTCAAAAGAATCAACTCTTCCATTTGCAAGTTCACTATTTAAACGAAAAATGGAGATAGATCTGATAATCTGATATACCTTATTTTCTCTAATAGTAGTGCATCTTAAGCCTTGCCTTAATTGCTTGAAATCTCGAGAAGCGCTTATCAGACCCTATCGATGTGGGGTCGGAAAATGTAGCTAATGATGAGATCTAGTGGGGGATTTGAGTGTTGAGCTTCTGCAAAAACTTTGGAAACCGTAAAGTAGGCATCAACTCGGCTTGCTTGCGTGCACTACTATTAGAGAAAATACGGTACTAATATGTCCAGTGATTAAGACTTTAAGTTCGGCTGAAAAAATCGGACTCTGACGGAATCAAGAAAATAATCTTTAGGTAGCTTTTTCTAATAGTAGTGCATCTTAAGCCTTGCCTTAATTGCTTGAAATCTCGAGAAACGCTTATCAGAACCTATCGATGTGGGGTTGGAAAATGTAGCTGACGATGAGATCTAGTAGGAGATTTGAGTGTTGAGCTTCTGTGAAAACTTGGAAACCGTAAAATAGTCACCAACTCGGCTCGCTTGGGTGCACTACTATTAGAGAAAATACGGTAATCAAACTCATGGTTCTTCAAGTCATATTTGGTTTATTTGCTCAATCGGTAAATCAGATTTTGAATTGGATTCTTTCAAATTCAATTCAATACGTTCGATTGCTAGCTTACAATGTAATAAGAGTTTCACAATATTAGTGAATTTCCCTGCGAATTCATGCTTGAACCAAGAATTGACTTGAACCAAGAATTCATGCTTGAACCGAGCCCAGAAATCGTTTAAATCCTTTGCATCACTTAAGAATTACCCTAGACGAATTTATTTCAAGTCCATTTTAGTCTGTACATTTCGAAAATCAACTGAATGAAGGGAATTGGATGTAGAATTTATTTCCTTTTTGCGAAAAGTGAAAGGCAAAAAGAATTGGGGTTTTCAGAAAACCATAAGCCCTTCTTTGTGGGAGAAATGAGGGAATTATTAAAGAAAATTTCTAGAAAAACGAATTCTCAAACTAAATCTTGAGAGTAAAGCTTGAGAAAATGAGAGAAATAAGGAAAAACATAGATAATATAAAGAAAAACTTGATGAACTTGATATTGTTTAGACATTTTTTGATATTTGAGTCTTGTTTAGACACCGCGTCTTGGCTCACGGCGAGTTCGAAATCGCCTAGTACAGAAGACGGGTATTTGCAACATTTCACTAAAAAATGTGCCCAAACAGCGACGGAAATACTTCAGGTAACGATTTTTAAAGATTCTTAAAGATTTTTAAAGAAAAAACTTTGATCAAAACGTGATTTAAGCCATGATTTGACAGATCAGACTTGAGCAATTTGAATGTTACGAAAGTTGAATGAAAAATGTTACGAAAAATGCTATTTGATCTAGATTTTTGCCTAAACTTTTGGTCAAAACATTGGTGTTTTAAATTTGAACCAACATTGCTGCTCGTTTTTTATAGAATTTGGATTAAGCAGTTTTGTTTAGACACTTTGTTTGACATTTGAGCCTTGTTTAGACACCGCTCACGGCGATTTCGAAATCGCTTAGTACAACTAAATAGGAACTAAGTAGGAACTAAATAGGAATCATAAAGGTACTAAAGAACATAAAGGAACGGGGATTTGCAACATTGCAAGAATTACTAACCAAGAATCAAGCAGTTAGTCAGGAATTGTGTTTTTATATATCGAGTAAAGCCTTTTCTACGTTTTCTCGAGTAAAATGGAAAGTTATCGTAATTTTGTGAATGTCCAAGTGGATTAGGCGTTTGTTTCTAAAACGAGCGACTGTTAGGTGGCAGGTTCGAGCCCGACTCAGCACAGTTTAAGAAAGAATTGTGGTTTTGAAGTGGTTTTGAAGAGAAAATTGTTCATTCAAAAGTCCCTGAGCCCACCAGGATCTAGGCCTGGCTTCTAACCGGACTTTGACCGGTTTACAAACTTTAGAAAACGTTTGGAACGTCCATGATCATAGCTAACAATGGTTTAGACTAGCATAATGATGCTAAAATCTTTCAATAACTTTTACAAGCTTTTAACGGATCTCTTTTTACTTGTAAAACCTTTCCAGTGACATCTTTACGACGGTGATCGAGATGAAATGGCGCTGGTGTCTTTTGTATTTCTCTTTGAATTTCGTTCTCTCTTGGACCTTTTTCGCAGTCATTTATTACAGGTAATTTCCATATTTTATACTTGATGTCATTTTTCTCAGCAAAAAAAAACCTTTAGCATTTCCGTTTCGCACGGGGATTTGGAGTCGTGGAATCTGAGAGCCGCAAACTGGACTCCGTGCGTGCAAAACGCTGACTCTGAGCTCAATTTTTATCTTTTTTCTTTTGCCACACAAACGACGATCGGATATGGATATCGGTGAATTTTTTGAAAATGAATTTGAGAGAGATTCTGATGTTAGCAAAGCCTTTAAAAAGAAGAGTTAAGCCCTCTAAACTATTTTGGATTCATAAACAGCTCGATTTGCATCGAAAAAGCACTAACTTTCTGGTTTCTATTGGGTTGGTGAATTGAAAACTGGGGGCTATTGTGTTTAAGTGTAGAAATACTGTTTAATGCTGTTTAAAAATGTTGTAAAAATGCTGTTTAAGTGTAGAAATGCTCTCCAGAATCTCAGCTTCACAAATACTATTGAGTTGGTGAATTGAAAACTGCCAGCTGTTATCATATGTGACAGTTTGAGCAATTTCTTCAAAAGAACCCATTTTGGTGTCAATGGAAAAGTTGTAGAGAATCAAAAATTAAGCTTATATCCAAATTTTTAGAATCATTCAAAACCTCGTTTTCAAGAAATGCCAAATTTACACAAAAGAAATGCCAAATTTTCACAAAACTTGCATTTTAAGCGAAACTACTAGGTGTATCTCTTTGGAAATTTGGCTATAAGCCTAATTTTTGATTCTCTACAACTTTTCCATTGACACCAAAATGGGTTTCTTTTGAAGAAAGTGCTCAAACTAGGCTGACAACTGCCATCTCTAGTCCTCGATTTTTGAATCTCACACTTGTCTCACACACAAACCAAAATCCTACTACGAAAGAGGAATCCGCAAATTGCCTGTAAAATGGGCAGAAGTCGTTAATAATAATGGAAACTATTTGGAATGAATTCATGGTTTTATGTTGAATAAATTTTAGTTCAAGGCCGGCAGTTTTCAATTCACCAACCCAATAGTTTTGGATTCAGTTTTGAATTCGGTACAGATTCGGCGCCTTTTCGGTACATATTTGGTTCCTTTTCGGCAAACTTTGGTTCCAGTTCGCTACAGATTTGGTCCCTTTTCTCTACAGATCTGATTCCTTTTCTCTTCTCTGCAGATCTGGTTCCTTTTCGGTACAGATTTGGTCCCTTTTCTCTGCAGATCTGGTCCCTTTTCTCTACAGATCTGATTCCTTTTCTCTTCTCTGCAGATTTGGTTCCTTTTCGGTACAGATTTGGTCCCTTTTCTCTGCAGGTTTGGTTCCTTTTCTCTACAGATCTGGTTCCTTTTCTCTTTTCTGCAAACTTGGTTCCTTTTCTCTACAGATTCGGTACAGATAAACAGTTGGTTTTGCATCGAGAAGCGCTAACTTTCTGGTTTCTAGTTTCCATTTCTTGAATAATGAATTTAACATTTAAGATTTCCTCTAGTTAATCGCAATTTCGACTTGAAAGCTCAATTGGTGCAACTAAAAATCTGCCCAATCATCTCTTAATCTTTTCAAAACCATAAACCATTGCAAATCTTTTCCGGAAAAACTTTTATGACGCATAAAACTATAAGCTAAATAATCCGATTTACGAGAAAAAAACTAAATGATCAGAAAAACAGAAAGAAAAACGCTTAACAAAACAATTTCCTCAAAAAATTTTGTCAATATTTTCAAGTACTTCCTTTTTCAAGTTGAAAATTTCAAGAAACGAGATGAAATTTTCACTTTAAACCCCTTTTTTGCGTTTTTTTGCGTTTTTTGAGAAGAAATCTTGTTAAGGAGAGAGGAAATTTGGGAAAAGATCTATTGGAAATGGAAAAAGAAAAGGGAAACTAGGTTTTGATATTAAATCATATTAAAATGATTCAGTTACCCAACCGATCAATGTCCCCTAGTGGTGTTGGCGATGTCCGTGCAATTCATGTGGGGCATTTTGTCACAGGTAAATGTTTTTTTTTTTTGAGAAATTTGGACAAAACAAAGAATAATTGGTTAGGAAAAATTCTGTAATAAGGTAATTCATTTGAGAAAATTCACTCATGTGTGCCAAAGAAATTTGATTATTTATGAGCATTCGAATTTCTATAGCCGAGAATAAAGAAAGAAAAGAAAAAAAATAAAGAAAAGGGATTTTTCCATAAAGAAACCCACAAAGTATTTAAGGAAATTTACAAATTTACACCAGCTATCAGATACTGAAAAATATTTGAACTTACTGTAAAGACTATAAGCCAGTTCGGAGCTACGCTCTAGCTATTAGGTTGTTCGGAGCGTTTGCACTGCTTAACTCGTGAGGAAGCCATTTCCCGTATCTGATCTGAGCTTTTCCAATAACGTGGAGATGCTCATCAATGGTAGAATTTGAACATAGAGACTGTTGAGCAAGTTCACGCGTCGTTTGACATGGATCCGGTTCGATTGTGGCCCTCAAAATATCGTTGTCTACCGTTTGAGGTCGACAAGAGTGTTCAAGATCCTCGAGACTTTCATCACCGTTCCGAAAGCGTTAGAACCAGGCTCGGAAAATACATCATTCCCAAATGCTTTGACCAAATCTCGATGGAATTTCGCTACTGTTTTGCCCAGTTTGAAGTCGTAGGCAGATGCAAACTCGTTCGAAGTCGGTCATCTAAAGCAAGAAAAAAAGATCTTAAAAATAAGAAAATATCCGTTTAAAAAGATTCCAAATATACACAAGATAACGTACTTTTTAAATACAGAAAGACATGTTTTAAATGGTTCCCTCACAACAATAAGTTTAGTAACGCTTGTTTAGATCCGAACAACCTAATAGCTATGCTACGCTCTAGCAAGCTATGCTACGCTCGGTAAAAGTTCCCGTGGGAAAACTTTGGCTTTCCGGCTGCTACCCTTCGATAAAGTTTCCGCTGGAACTTTCCCACTGCTGCTGCGCTCCTGGAAACTTTTAACATAAGGTTTCCGCTGAAAACTTTCCAGCAGCAAATGGAGCCAATTCCCGATAGCTGCTAGGCTTTTTTGGGAATTTCCTGCAAGAAAGTTTTCCGGCAGAATTTCCCACGGGAAAGTTCCTAGAGCGTAGCAGGCCCTTGCTGAAAACTCTGCTGGAAAACTTTGAGTTTCCCACCGGAGACTTTCTTTCCAGCAGAGTTTCCAGCGGAAACTTTCCCGAAGCGTAGCATACAGGCTCAAGTCCAAGCTTGGCTTAAACTAATCCAAGAACATTTGGTCTAATACTAGGATCAGTGCAGATTTTCTAGTGAGCCCAAATACTTTTTGCAGTCTACAGAAAACCCAGACTAGACCAACCAAAGCAGAAAGCAAAGCCATAACCAGAAGTCAGCCCAAGTCCTAGTTTCTATCTTGACCTGGCTTCAGAAAATGGTTTGGCACAGCTCTCGATTAAAGTGTTTTCTAAAAAACATAGTTTTGGCTCTAGTTTTATCCAATATCTTTTTTGTTTTATTTTAATATTTCCAGACTCTGATGGCTGGTGTGATCTTCTCAAAACTGGCTCGACCCATCAAACGAGCGGCTACATTGATCTTCAGGTGAGTTAAGGAAATGGAAAACTTGTTTTTAAACTAAACTAAACTAAACTAAACTAAACTAAACTAAACCTTAACCAAAAAAACTTGATTTTTTGATATTCGAGTTGTTTCATCATTGTTTTTGCTTTTATTTCGAATCCGGAAATGGAAAATGAAAAAAATTGAACGCTTTGATTCAATTTTCCTTTGTTCAGCTCATGTTCAGCTGGTGCTTTAACAATTGGCAAAAAAGAAAGCGAAAGAAAGGCTGAAGAATAGGCGGATAATTGTCGTCTCTTTCTCACCTTTCACCTTTTTTTATCCATTTTTTGAGAGACCCAATGTCCCCACGTTGAATGAGGCCACAAATTGAGCTGCACTCTCTCTCTTTTCTGCGGCTTTTTGGGTCAATGTCTTTCTTCTTTTGAAAGCATCATATTGGGAAATGTGGAAAATAGGAAAAAGTCTAAAAATGGGTTTCTTGGGGACTTCAAAGCAGGATTATAAATCTGCTTTGGATTTAGCTGTTTTTCTGCTACAGAACCTGTTGTTCTTGAGAGAAAAACTTGACTTGTCTTGTCACTTACTTGTCACTGTCACTTGTCACAAACTTGCACTTACCGTAAATACTGTAATGGTACCCTACCCTCATAATGACGGTGTTGCGTAGTCTATCTTTGAACGAGTTTTCCTCGACACTGGTTTATGCTACAATGCGCGTTTAGATATCAAAAAATAGCCCTGAATTTTAGCTATTTTTTGACACCTAAACGCGCATTGTAGCATAAACCAGTGTCGAGGAAAACTCGTTCAAAGCTTACCGTTAAATACTGTAATAGTACCCCACCCCAATAATGACGGTGCGGAGTGTTGCGTAGTTTAGCTTTGAACGAGTTTTTCTCGACACTGGTTTATGCTACAATGCGCGCTTAGGTATCAAAAAATAGCTGAAATTCAGGGCTATTTTTTGATACCAAAGACGCATTTTTGAAAGTACGGGTGCTTTGCAAAAAATGAAATACAAAAAAGCGTTTGCGACTACACGACTGTACGAGGGGGATGGGGTACTATTATATTATTTACGGTAAGTTCAACAGTTGATTCTACCTGAACAAATCAAGTAATCAAGACCTTTACGATCATTTCAAACAAGACTCAAAATGAGCTTTTTATCCAGTCTTTCCTAGCTCTAGCAATTGTAGTTTTTCTGAATAGCTATCAGTTTTTTTCTGTATAAAATGAAACCCATTTCATTCGATGCAAGATATGAACAAGGAAAAAGCTTTTCAAATTGAACATAGCCATTTCTTCTTTAATGGGCATTAGTACATTTTTGTTTGTAGTGAATCTAGGCTTGAAGCTAAAAGCTAAAGCATCTGCTTTTACACGAGAAGCTATTTTGCAAAATCGTGTGTTTATAAACAAAGGCAAAGAGAAAGTTCCTGCAAAAACAAATTTATAAATTGACGCTTAAAGAAATGAATAGGGATTTGGGATAGTTTTGGCTTAAAATATTTCTATATTTTTTCAAAACACTTGATGGTTGGAGGCGGCTAGACCCAATCGTTTATAATCGGCTAAAATTCATAATCGGCTACGACATATATTAGGTACATGCATAAGAAATGGCGGCTTTGAACATTTTCATAAATTTTCAACGATAGAAATCTGATGTCGATGAATGTTATAAAGTATTTGAAAGTTGTAAATCTTCTCTACAAAATAGGCTATCTCCTCTACGAAATAGGCTTCAATTGATCGAATGATTGAAGAAATTTCGAGGGTGAAATGCGAGTGACCAAAAAAGGGCAAAACAAAAAATCGAGTCAGTTTAGGGACAAGTTTAGTGTGCTCAAAATAGAGTTAGCTTTCCAAAATTGAAGATTTAAACAAAAATAAAGGATAACTATATATGAATTCATTAAAAATTGATCAATTGATCGAACCATTGAAGAAATTTGGAGGGCGGAAATGCGAGTGACCAAAAAAGGGCACTTTTTTCATCAAATCTTACTAATTAAAAAAGTTTCACATAATTATCAATGATTCTGCGTTGAATGATACCAAAAACTTGATGTTTTGGACGTGCCTAAACCCACTCATTCATAATCGCCTACGGGTATCCCACCGATTTTGAATGAAACGTTGTAGCGCCGGCAATTTTTAACCTAAACTCACAAATTTGATACCAATCGACGCAGAATTGAATTCGCTACAAAATGATATAATATTGTCCTCATAAATTAAAGGATTGCCAAAGATTTCATTCATAATCGGCTACGACATTTATAATTTTGAAATGTCAGTCTGTCTATCAGAACTCTAGCGGGCGCTGGAGTGTGTTTCTCGAGAAATGACCGAAATAAGCATCTGATGTAGTTGCGCCTTTTGAAAACCGTTTCAAAAAATATTCACTAGAAAAAAAGTTATGTTCAATTTTTGGTGTTTTTTAGTGTTTTTTTTGGGTCACCCGCCCCCATCAAAGGGGCTCGCACGGCGCTCAATGGCCGAGTGGTTAGCGCTCTAGCATCGAGTGCGAGAGGTCAAGGGTTCGAATCCGCCTCCGGTCAAACATTTTTCTTTTTGGTCAAAACCTTCAATATAATAGTATCATAACATAGAACTATATTCTAGTTCAGTACTTTATCTGGTACAAGCTCCCGCGCTATCTGCTACAAGCTACACTACTGGACAATGAAATATCATATTTGAAAAAAGACTTTCGCACTTTCGCGCGTCTGTAACTCCCTTGTCTTTACCGTATTTCTAAATATTAATATTACCATTGTGTAGCCCTTGAAAAGAGCTTTCAGAAAATGCATAACACTAATAGTTTAAACTCAAAAACAAGGGAGTTACAGACGCGCGAAAGTGCGAAAGTGTTTTTTTGAAATATGATATTTCATTGTCCAGTAGTGTATCAATGGTCAAGTATCATAATAACCAATGAAAGTTAGTTCAAATATAATAGAAATAACCTTTTTAAGTAATAAGACGCGCTCTTACTCTAAAAATTCTGCTTTTTTTGGATTCAGATTCAGATAAAATAAAAATTTTAGTAAAAACGCTGTGATCTGTATGAGAGACGGGAAATTGTGTCTACTTTTTCGAGTAGGCGATATGAGAAAGAGCTCACTGGCTGAGGCACATGTGAGATTACAGGTTAGAGAGATTGCAAACGGTTAAAACCGTTTCGTTTTGTCAGTTCTCTGAAGGAGATTTCAAGATTTTGAAAGTCAAATCAAAACTTTAGATGATTAAAAGATGTATCACGTATGAGGGAGAGCTTTTGCCATTTCATCAATTTGATATGGATGTCGGGTAAGAATTTCTGTAGAATATTCTCATTTAATCGTTTCTTTTAGTTACGACGAGGGTCTTGACCGAGTTTTCGTCATTTGGCCGATCACAATTTGTCACGAGATTGACGAGAATTCTCCGTTGTACGATGTGAGCAAGGAGAGTCTAGCGACCGCGAAATTTGAGATTATCGGTTAGTTTTTGATAAAACTATACAAATAAAATACAATAAACAAATAGTTTTATTAAAAAACATCCAAGTTTTGAGAAAGAAATGAAGTTTATCTATTGGGTTGAGGAGAATGAAGTCGGCGTCGAAGTTTTGCCACTTTTTAAAGCAAATAAGGCTTTAAAAAGTGGCACATAAAGCCTTCTTTAAAGCCACCTTTTGTTTCATTAAAATCCTTAACTATTTCTCTAGAAAATGACTTTCAAGAGATTCCGAAAAGCTTTTGTTTTATGGAATTTATAAACACCCAAACAAAACTAGTCGAAATGTCAGAGTCTCATCAATCATCAAAGAGTTTGATCAGTTTCTTCAGCATAAACCTTCTTTGATGTCTATATAAAAAAGATAGAGGACATTTAATTACATAAGTTGCAAAATTTACAGAAAATTTCATCCAACCGTTTGCTCTAGATGATAGTTTATAGATTTTGGGTTTTCTTTGAGCTAAGGCGATGTTTGAGCTCTCTTTTAAATGTCATTTTTTAGAAAATTAGTTAACCTGATAACAAGCTAAATCATTTGACAAAATCTGCTAAAAGTTTTAGAGATTTCTTTGGTTTTTGACGCTATTTAAGTAATAGGGAAAATTTCAGCGATTCTCGAAGGAGTTGTGGAAAGTGTTGGCTCAACAACGCAAGCCCGAACCTCGTATCTACCAAACGAGATTCTCTGGGGGAAACGGTAAAATAATAAAGATAAATAAAGACAATGGAATACGATTTTTACAGATTCGAAAAACTTGTGCACTACAAGAAAGAAAATGGTCAATACCATATTGATTTTCAAAAATTCCATAACGTTTACGATGTGAAAACGCCGCCTTGTTCGGCAAAGGAGTTGGATGAGATGAGGGTAAGTCAAAATCATCATTTGATCATTTGAATCATTTGATAACTCTTTAATATCAATGAAATTCTTCAAATTTATCTAGTTTTCATGTTTATATTTAAAGTCGATAATTCTTTTGTTGATTTTAGAATGCCGGAACGTTCAACGAGAAAGAGTATCAAATCTATCATCATGACAGTCAAAATGCCTTGAATATTGATGCAATCGATGATATTCCGGAGGTAAACAAAGCAATTAAAAATTGCAATAGAATTGAGCTGAATTGAAGGAGATCTTAATCAGAATTACCTCTTAATTACCTCTTAGTTCTAAATTAGCTTTAAATTGCCTCTAAATTACCTCTTAATTCCCCCTTAATTACCTCTTAATTCCCCCTTAATTACCTCTTAATTCCCCCTTAATTCCCCCTTAATTCCCCCTTAATTCCCCCTTAATTCCCCCTTAATTACCTCTTAATTCCTCTTTAATTCCCCTCTTAATTCCCCCTTAATTCCCTCTTAATTCCCCCTTAATTCCCTCTTAATTCCCCCTTTAATTACCTCTTAATTACCTCTTAATCAAAATTCAAGCACTTCAGGTCACTCTCACAAATGACATATCCGTCGTGCCGCAGATCACGACAAATCCCCATGTGGTGAGTGAGAAATTCTTGGCAACAATTTTTTTAGTTTTAAAACAACCGAATGTTTTAAATGTTTTGAGCTTATATTAAGAGAACAGCCGAAAAACCCGGTTAACTCCGGGTTTTTCTGGCTTCAAACATTTGTCGCCGTCGCGCAGTCGAGAGCGCGCTTGTTTATTGACTTAATACTTGCAATGCACCTTTAGTTAATAGCATTGTTAGTTTAGGAATAGACAACAACTGACTTTTTAATAAAAAAGCTAAACTTTTACTGAAATAAAGATAAACTGCTCTTTTATCTCAAAATTATCCGGACAACTTTTTGGAAACGTAGTTTTTGCTTAATTTATTTCAAAGTGTCATGTGTTATGTAGAGAATTGTAGCCCTGAATCTTGGCTACATTTATCTACCAAACGCTTCGCAATCGGATGTATGCAGCTCATATAATAAGACTTTGGATGAGCGCTAGTCGATCCCGATCCGGCGCGCTGCCATTTTTAACGATACGGTCCACACGGTCCAGGTTCGACCCCGCGTAGCGCCACTCAGTTTCGAATTTTCGATTTTTTATTTTAAATAACACAAACGCTGCCATTTTTAACGATTTTTCACACAAGATTCATCTAAAAAGGACTTTATTTAGGTAAAATTTGTGTGAATTTTGTTTAAAAAATGATTTTCAACAATTTCATAGCTATAACAGCTAATATAATGAGATATTCGTGTGAACTAAATATCGAAAAATGATTAAATTTCACCTTTTTCCCTGCCTCTTCAAAGAAGCTTGATTTTGGTTAGCCAAAACAGTTGAGAGTTATCCTTAATAGTGTTAAATAATCTTTTTGCATAAAATAAATATTCATCAAAACTTTTTCGAAGAGTTTTTTTATGTAGAAAGTTGTCAAAAATGGCAGCACGCCGGATAGGGACTAGCGCTGATTCAAGGACTTATTAAATGAGCTGTATGCATCTGATTGCGAAGTTTTTGATAGATAAATGTAGCCAAGATTCAGGGCTATAATCCTCTACCTAACACTTGACACTTTGAAATGAATTAAGGAAAAACTAGATTCCCAAAAAGTTCGGACAATTTTGCCCATGGTAGATGATTGACTAATTCTTTTTTTCAGGTTCTAAGAATGGAATCTGATGATGAGAATAGTGGAGAAGAGTGCGGTGGATTGGAATTGGTAAAGAATTTGATTTAAAGCAGTCTAAAGAATGATAATTTAACGAATAATGAAAGATTGTCAATTTATTAAAGAATATTAAAGCCTTATAGTCTCATAGTCTCATTTCGTCCTTCTTGAGAAAACGTCTTCTTTTGTTCAGTTACTTATAGTAACTGGACAAAAGAATTTGACTCAATTTCGAATCAAAAAAGCTAGTCATGATGATTATAAGTGTTATATGTATAAGAAAATTACGATTAAAAGCATAGCTATCGCTATTTTTCTATTCTTGATAGAAGTCCTATGAGAGTATCAACTCGACGGTTGGCGAGTGTTCTCCGCAAGGCGTAGACACCAACGGTTTCCGTTGCCGCGACAGTAGCGGTCGGGCGTTTCTAGCTGCTTATAGCTGTGTCGTAGCACACTGTGACGGGAGGCGTTTACAGTATTGATCCACCGGCAGGTTCACCTACCGGTAGCTTGTTACGACTTGTTACGACACTGAAGTAAAATGCTTCACTAATTCTCACCAATGTCCAATTGCAGAATCATCACGTTGAATATCGTATTTTCTCTATTAATATTTTAATATTTCTCTCTAATTTCTCTAATCTTTTCTCTGCACCTGGCCGAGCCGAGTTGATGGCTGTTTTAGGGCTTTCAAAGTTTTCCCAGAAGCTCAGCACTCTAATCCCCCACTAGATCTCATCGTCAGCTACATTTTCCGACCCCACATCGATAGGTTCTGATAAGTGCTTCTCGAGATTTCAAGCAATTTAGTCGACGCTCAGGGTAATCGGCCGAAATTCATAATCGGTTACGACATGTATATTAGGTATTTGTAAAAGGAACTGCGGATTTTTATTTTTCTTTTCTTCAAATCTTTCTAAAAGCTTATCTCCGGCTCGTGCTTAGAATTGAATAACAGAAAGTTTACTCGTAGTACATTTTCTGGTACATTTTCTGATATTGCTTCTTTGTGATGGACTTGATTTGTATTTGTCTTGTTTTCAAGTCTTTCTATTTTCAAATTTCTCACTTAGAACCAACTCTTATTACGTCAACCATTCTAGATTTAAAGTGCTAGATTCTCTGCCCAATCTTCCTGACAATATTCTTTCAGTAAGAGATTTAATTGTAAGTAAGCTTAAAAACCTTTAACATACCGTATTTTCTCTAATAGCAGTGCACTCAAGCGAGCCGAGTTAGTGAGGATTTTACGGTTTCCAGGCTTTTGCAGAAGCTCAACTCTCTAATCCCCCACTAGATCTCATCGTTAGCTACATTTTCCGACCCCACATCGATAGGTTCTGATAAGCGGTTCTCGAGATTTCGAGTAATTTAGGTGCTTAAGGAGAATACGGCGATATTGAGTTAAGTCAGTAAGTCCCCTACAAACAATAAAGCTAATTTCTGACTTCTTTGAATGACTATTTGAGCGGCCGGCCGAGCCTAGGTTCTGATAAGCGCTTTTCGAGGTTTCAAACAATTAAGGCAAAGCTTAAGATGCACTACTATTAGGGAAAATAATGAATTGGAAAAGAAATTAGCTGAGCTAAGCCAATTTCAATGTTTCAGGTGGAGTGCGGTGGAACGACTCGACACAAGCGATCGATTCGCTCAATCTCGCCCACATCCACCGAGCTGATCCCCTTGCAAAAGAAGATGTCCATGGTGCGCAGAGGGCACGATGTTTTCTGATTTGATTTCCAAATTCATTTGACTTCTTAGCGAAAACTGGAACCTATTTTTGCGTAAACTTTCGCAAACTCTACGCGAAAGAGTTCAAATCGTTACCCAATTCTTTACTTCTTCATTCTCTTTCAAAAAATCTTTGCACTTTCCCCATTTGTGCCTCCAATCACTTCACAGGTTCACTGTAATTTTCTCTCATTCACTCATCGTCGTCAGCACCAAAAAAAAAGCTTCTCTCAATGTGGATTGTCGTGAAAAAAAGGTAGACACTTTGTGATGTCCTGTTTTTGGAGTTTTTCTTTTGTCAAAACACAAATTAGGCGAATTGGGTTAACAAAATAGGCCTTTGCTTTTATAGAAATGATCAAAAACAATCATTTCTCATGCTTGAAGTGATAGATACAACTCTGAAGAACGTACCAATGTATAAAGTCAATCAATAAGTAATCAGGCTCTCCTTTTTCTCTCAGCTTCACCCAAGTTTCCAAAAGTTTCCAAAAGCTAAACCATAGATCTTTCTGTTATTTTAATATAATAATTATCAAAGGTATTAGCATTATTGTACAAAGTTTTAACTTTATCTGATTGCTGGGCTTTGAGAATGAGTCTTTAGAAATTGTGAAGCTTCTTTTCACTATAACTTAAAACCCAGGCATGAGACTGGAATGAAATTTTCTCAGATAATAGGATTCATTCTAGATTCTAGAGGAATTTAATTAGTTATTAGAATTTAATTTGCTGGGCTTTGAGAAAGAGACTTTAGAAGGGAACTTTTGAAATGAATGAATTGAATTTTTGAATTCTTCAAACTCTCCTTCAACAAACTCTCCTTATTTTTCTCAAAGTAGCTAATTAAATTCCTCTAGAATCTAGAATGAATTCTATTATCTGAGATTTCTATTCTATTATTCTATTATTCTATTATCTATTATTTCATTCCAATCTCATGCCTCTGTTTCAAGTTCTAGTGAAAAGAAGCTTCACAATTTCTAAAGACTCTTTCTCAAAGTGCAGCGAAATCGAGCTCGAAAATTAGTTTTTGTGGTCAAAATCATTGTGCTACCGATCTTTGACTCTGAGAAAACTTTTTTTGGCTGATCAGATTTTGATTCTTGAATGCCCAAAAAATGCGTCATGAATCAAGCTTTTCAAATCTGAAAAAAGTTTGCAAAAAGGTTAAAAACTTTAAAAAATATGTCATTTTTCCCAAGAATTTGCGATTCTTTAGTAGTTTTGGTGTGTACTTGAGGCGACCCGGTAATCGCGCACGTTCTGGCACACATTCGGTAGTCCTAGCTTCGGAGTGGGCGTCGAATTTATCGAAAATCTGGAAGATTTTGAATTTCTTCAAAATCTTCAAGAGCGGGTTATTTCTGGTCACCGTATTGATTGATTGGTGACTTGTTGATTGACTTAATACTTGCAATTCACCTTTAGTTAATAGCATTGTTAGTTTAGGAATAGACAACAACTGACTTTTTAATAAAAAAGCTAAACTTTTACTGAAATAAAGATAAACTGCTCTTTTATCTCAAAATTGTCCGGACAACTTTTTGGAAACGTAGTTTTTGCTTAATTTATTTCAAAGTGTCATGTGTTATGTAGAGGATTGTAGCCCTGAATCTTGGCTACATTTATCTACCAAAAATCTCGCAATCAGATGTATACAGCCCATTTAATAAGTCCTTGAATGAGCACTAGTCGATCCCGATCCGGCGCGCTGCCATTTTTAACGATACGGTCCACACGGTCCAGGTTCGACCCCGCGTAGCGCCACTCAGTTTCGAATTTTCGATTTTTTATTTTAAATAGCATAACTATATTAGATTTTAAGCTTTTTTAAAAAAACTTCAGTTTCATTGGCCTAAAAACGGCTGAGACAAAGCCAGTACAAACGGACGGACTGCTCTTTTATCACAAAATTATCCGGACAACTTTTTGGAAACGTAGTTTTTGCTTAATTTATTTCAAAGTGTCATGTGTTATGTAGAGAATTGTAGCCCTGAATCTTGGCTACATTTATCTATCAAAAACTTTGCAATCAGATGTATACAGCCCATTTAATAAGTCCTTGAATGAGCACTAGTCGATCCCGATCCGGCGCGCTTATTGATTGACTTAATCCTTGCAATTCACCTTTAGTTAATGTCATTGTTAGTTTAGGAATAGACAACAATTCAATAGACAACAACTTTTTAATAAAAAAGCAAAACTTTTATTCAAATAGAGATAAGATAATTTTAAAAAATAAGACTAACATCAGGTTTACCAGATTTTGAACGAAAAATGATCGATTTTAGTGGAGTTGATCTCATTTTAAAAGCCTAAAATTACTTATTTTATAAGAGTCGTTCCATTGTACTATTTCCTTGTAAGAAAGTTATAAGTTTCTGATAAAGATCTTCGAATTTAGATGGGTTCAAAGATGTTCTCCACATCGGACTCTCATCATCTCCTTCTCTGGCAACCATTGAGAGATCGAAGGGAAAGCTCGCCGATGATATTGTAAAAAAACACATTCAAATTCTATTTTAAAAGTAAAACAAATTTTGAAACAATTCCCATTTTTTCTGGTTTTTCTGTGCCTTATTTCAGGTTGTGATTTTTTTCAATTCTTCTATTTTTCTCTAAAATCTCGAGTGCAATTGTTTCCCCTCGTTGCTCAAAGATTTCTTTGTAAATTTCAGTAAAGCATTAACAATTCTATTTAATCAACATTGTGATTTCGGGTTGTTAGACTTTGAAGACTTTAAATTGTGCGAATAATAAAATTCAGAAGGATTTAAAGAAAAGATTCAAAGTTGAAATGACAAAAATGAAATGAAAGAACTCTAGCAATGAAATGAAAGAAACAATGAAAGAAACAACGAAAGAAACAATGAAAGAACTCTTGGTTTAAGTTCGAATCCTCCTCTAGACAAATCTTTTTGTTTTTTTGAACAAAAAGGTAACAAAAGTCGGGTTCTTTGTAAAACAAAAGTAGTTTTGTCCAAAAATAAACGCAAATTTTTACATTATTCTTTGCATTTTGAAGTTCATAAGTCTACGTTGAAATCGATGAACTATTGGGTTGGTGAATTGAAAACCGAATCTGTACCAAAAAGGAACCAAATCCGAACTGAAAAGGAGCCGAATCTCCACCGAATCCAAAACTGAATCCAAAACTATTGGGTTGGTGAGTTGAAAATTGCCGGACTTTGAAATAAAATGAGAAAATGGTCGATAAAGATCATTAAATCAATCAAAATTTTCAAAAATTAAGCTTTAGCTTCTAGTTTTACTTTGCCCTTTTGTTTAAAACTTAAAAAGGCAAAGAGGAAAGTTAAAAATGATATGAAAGTAACTATTGGGTTGATGAGTTGAAAACTGCCGGACTTTGAACTAAAATTTATTCAACATAAAACGATCAATTCATTCCAAATAATCTCCATTATTATTGACGACTTCTGCCCATTTTACAGGCAATTTGCGGATTCCTCTTTCGTGGTAAGATTTTGGTTTTGAATCGAAAAACTTTCAAAGCCAATTTTTGACTGCTTCTTCTGAATCGAAGTGTTCTCCCGCAAGCTCATTACTCATGAGCCGGAATAAATAGTAATCAGAAGGGGCAAGGTCCGGACTGTATGGGGAATGCGCCAAAAGTTCCCAAACAAGGCTATTTATTTTAGAGCGAGTCAGTTTTGAAACATGAGGGCGCGCGTTGTCGTGGATGAGAACGATCTTTGACTTGGAGGGCCTATGCTTCTGCAGGGATTCATTCACCTTTCCCAACTGTTCATTGTATTTGATTGCACTAAGGGTCGTCTTGCTATCCAGCGACTTCCAATACTGCCTCCATATCCCAGAAAACACAGAGCATAACTTCTTGTGGTGCAAATCGGGCTTAGGGTCACTTTCGGGTTTCTCGCCTGGCCCCACCCATTGCCACTTCCTCTGAAAGTTCACAGATAAAACCCATTTCTCATCTCCTATCACAATTCGAGAAAGAAAAGATTTCCTTTTGTATTGTGAGAGATGGACAGCACTGATCGAGGCGCGCTGCCACTTCTGGGGGTTATTGAGGTCATTCGGCACCCATGGGTCAACTTGGGGCACCCAAGTCCCAAGTTTCGATTTAAATTCAAGGGTATGCAGGTGATTTAGCACTGTAACATGATCAATCCCTAACTCTTCTCCCAATTCATGACACGCCGATGGTCGTTGGTAATGAGTTCGAGTAATTTGGAATCATCCAATTGGGGTGCCGGCCCTCTGCATCTTTCAAAGATTTGTCCCCAGATCGAAACTTGGCAAACCAGGAAGTTCTTTCGGAAGGTGAGTCCTCGCCATATATCTTTTTAATATTAGCAGCTGCCAAGCCTGCACTGTGCTCTTGTAGAAACTCATGAAGCATGACATGACGAATATGCCCCGGTGGCAGATTGTCGAGTGCAATAGAAGAAGTAAAGAAAACTGTCCCACCCATTGCCCCACCCATTGACACTTCCTCTGAAAGTTCACAGATAAAACCCATTTCTCATCTCCTATCACGAGTCACGAATTTTAGAGCTTTAGAGCTTTAGAGCTAGTCATTTTTGTAAGATGTTTTGCAACAATTCACCAACCAAATAATTGAAAATTTTATTTCATTTCATAGAAATTTCGCGTAGAAAACTATGAGAAAACTAAAAAAACCAGTGAAATGCACAAAATCACATAAATGATATGCTTAAACGAAAGAATGCAAAACGAAAACGAAAACGAAAAAATTATTATGGCGAAACCTCAGCCGAGTATCATTGATGAGCAAAAAAAAATAAAGAAATTAAAGAAAAGATATGCTTTAATCTTGTTTTTCCGTTGGTACAACGAGAAGCAACTTTTGACAAGCTTCAGTGATGTATTCTGAAAAGTTTCTGCTGAAGTAGTGTGGGGAAATTCATTGTTTACTGTATTCTGTACAGAAGTAACAGAATACAGAAGTAAAACTTAGAGCAGTCATCCTAATTTGGGTACCTGTGACTCTTACGCCGCCTGTTTTGTATTGAAAATCAATTTGCATTTAGAAATGGGAAGCTTAAGAGTCACAAATAGGCTTGCTTATTGATATTATCAATACAAAAGGCGTGCTCATGTTTGACTGTTCAGATCTCGACTTCTAAAACAGCTATCAATCTGTAAATTGTTTTATCGGAAAGTCAAGAATCTCAGCTTTTGATTGCTGTTTTAGACATAGCGACTTTAATGAGTAAGAGCCTCATAAACCTTATCGATCAATAAGCTTATCAATATTTGAATTACCGTAAAGAAGCTTCTGTTTTAGTAAATCAAAAGAAATAATTGATCAAAGTCGCTAAAACTTTTGAAAAAACACATAGCGAAACAATTCTTTACAACTTAATCACTTCGTTAACAAGTGTTCTGTGATGAAATTTTCAAAATTGAAAAGGCCGAGCTTAGCGATGGCTCGGCTTTTCAATGGCTTACCAGGGAACCTTCCCAAGTTACCCGCGTGTTAGAATATGAGGTAGGTGCAAAAAGAAAGGCCTGAAAATGTACGTTCAGAAACTGTTTTCAAAAACCGCTAACCGGCAAAGCGCACAAAGTTACAGCCATTTGAATTACGAAAAAATGAAAGCTTTTCTCGAATTTCTGGCACACGAATTTTTGCTGACGGAAAGGCTTTCCTTTCGCTATCCCAAAAGTCAGCTCGTAGCTTAGTGGTTAAATAAATCGTCAATCATTAGTCAAATTCGTCAATCTAACCACTAAGCTACGAGCTGACTTTTGGGATGGCGAAAGGAAAGCCTTTTCACCGGCAAAAATCCGTGTGCCAGAAATTCAAGAAAAGCTTTCATTTTTTCGAAATTCAAATGGCTGTAACTTTGTGCGTTTTGCCGATTAGCGGTTTTTGAAAACAGTTTCTGAACGTACATTTTCAGGCCTTTCTTTTTGCACCTACCTCATATTGTAACTCGCGGGTAACTTGGGAAGGTTCCCTGGTTAGCGATGGCTCGGCTCGGCTCGGCTCGGCTCAGCTCGGCTCGGCTCACAATTTGAATGTCAAAAAACTGACCCATAAACTCGTCACCTTTCTTTGATTTCCCTCGACAAATCACTCCCAAATAGTAAGCCGGGATACCAGTGAGCATAATGAGAATTCCGATTGCTAAAATAAACTACTTAATGGTGAATCTTGTGGTTTATTATTGATAAATATCGAATAGTTTCTTTCTATTGATCAATAAATGATCAATATCAATTGATTGATCAATAAATGATCAATATCAAGCTTACCTGTATCCATTGGGGTTTGATAAATGGGAAAGATGACGAGTAAAGCGCAACCGATTAGGAAAATGATCGGCCAAATGATGTTCACTTGAAGGGGACGAGGGTAATCTCGTGGTGGTTTCTTTACTCTGAAATTGATAAAGTACAATTTTTAGAGTTTACTTTAGAATTTCGCACTACTGGCACTGGAAAGGCATGGAAAATTTGAGATAGGACTACGGCATTTAATCTAGATTAGGGTATTCAGTCTAGATAGAGTATTCAGTCTGGACTGTCTGGATTACGGTATTCAATCTGGACTGTCTGGATTACGGTATTCAATCTAGAATAGGATATTCAGCCTAGATTAGCTAGATCACCGTATTTATTCTAGATTAGGATATTCAGTCTAGATTAGAGGATTGCCGAACTTATCAGTTTAGCCGGAAGCAGTCTTTTTCGCTTTTTAAGAGCTATTTTTGAAAAAACCAATCGATCTATGACTTTTTTCTCAAAAAGACGGATAAACCTTTCAGAAAAATAAGAAAAAAAACCTAGATCTGCCTTCGACTTCCCTGAATCACTCACCTCAACCACAAAAGTCCAGCTGTTGCCACTCCGATCGCTAACCAGTTCACAATTTGCACATAGCTAATCAAAACATAGATGTTATCGGAGAGAAGAATGTAGAAAAGAGAAAGTAAAGCCTAGAAATTTAGATTTTTGATTTTAGAGAATATTTGAGAGTATCATTTTACTGTGAATAGAACAGCCGGGATTGGAGTGCCAAGGTAAGGATTGATGAATGAGAGCACAACGGGCATGTGCTCACGTCGACCCGCCACATAGAAAAGTCTAGAATTTTTCTTGAATCAAAAGCTTTAGCAAGATTCCAAGAAACTCGTTACTATTAAAGCTTTTGGGGAAAAAGAATAGCCAAGAATTTGACACGAGAATCAACTCTAGACAATCAACTTTGTTGGGAGAAAACTGGCCATTTTGAGAATAAGATTATCCAAAATCTTTCACTTCCAAGGTTTATAAGTAATTATTGATTGACTCTTATTAATTATTGATACCGATTATTGATTATTTGATTTAATTTTACTGATTCACCGCTACAGTACAGACAAAAGATTATCACAAATTTTTCTCCATCTTTGAAAAGCTATAACGTTGAGCCTTTCCATCATAGACTAGAAGCGTTATAGTGATTCTGAAAGCTTAAAAGAAGCTCTATAAGATGGCGTATTTGCTTTTTAAAATTATTTGCATTTTTGACATATTTCGGGGTGCGCAAAATAGGGTTTGAAAAAACAAAGACGGCAAGGCTTTTAAAAAAAAAAAACCACATTTTTAGCGCTGTTTTTCTTGTTTATGCCATGCTCTAATCATCTTGAAACCATATTTTTTGGAAAGAACGTGCAAAATTACTCCTAGAAACCTTTGATTTGAGTATTTATTGCTTGTCAAAGTTCTAAAAAATCAACTTCGCATTACCGTCGTTGTTTTTCAAACCCCATTTTGCCCACGCCGAAATTTGTCAAAAATGCAACGAATTTTAAAAAGCAAATAGACTATTTTATAGGGCTTGTTTTAAGCTTTCAGAATCACTATAACACTTCTAGACTATGATGGAAAGGCTAGAAGTTATAGCTCTTCAAAGATTCGCGTGGTGATCTTCTTTTGTCGAGTACTGTTGCTACCTGCTACTCGTGTACATCACTCCATTAACAGTTCCAAAACATGAAAGAGCCACCAAAATCGGCATCGCTGGTGCAAAATACCAATAGAATCTGTTAGCGAAAAGCACAGCGATTGCTGGCGATTCAAGAAGATCATCGGCTGAGGTACCTAAAGCTCAAAAATGAACAGAAACTTTGAAAGCCAAAGAAAGCCAAAGAAAAAACATCAATTTATCAATCTTCTTTCTTTGTTCTATTCGAATTTAGTTCCTAAAAAAGCAAAAGCAAAGAGCTAGCAAAAGAATTTGAATCTTTACGGTTATCGGGGAGGTCGAGTTTTTGAGCATTTTGCAGCCCGATTTTAGATAGGTTTTTGTCAATAACTTTTGATAAAGCAAATAGTTTCTGAAAGCTGACATTTTAAGCTTTCTAAATCTTATTAAAACTTTCTGATCTGACAAGTGAATGAGATAAAAAATGAGCTGGAATTTGGCTAAAAAAATTTCCCGAAAAAGTTCCCTGAAAAAAAAAGATTCCCCTTTCCCCGATAATCGCTCTCTCCTCCCCATCCGTTATCCGTAAAGAACTATTCTATTCATAAATAGAGTGTGTTTCTGTGTTTAAAACGTAAATTTGAAAAAAATTATTGTACTTTTAGCAAAAATTATTGCAAAAACATTGACGGAAGTGGGATAAATGCTTTTTTTGCGCACCCGACCCATTAGCGCACTTTTTTTTGCGTTTTAAAGCTCTAAAAAGCCCAATTAACCAATTTCTATTTCAAAAGTCGCTTTTCTGAGTGTAGAATTCAAATTTTGACATATTAGAGTTTGTGGAAGCAATTTGAAAGGTAAAACGAGTACATCAAATTACAATTACAGAAAATTGTCGATTTTTACTCGATTGTCGATGCATAACTCCGTCCGTTTGCTTCCACAAGCTGTGAAATGCGAAAATTCGAATTCTACACTCAAAAATTACTCAGAAAATTCAATTTATTCGACGTGTAAAGAGGATTACTCGTAGTTAATCGACCAAAAAACGTCGATTGATCGAGATCGAGTAAAAATTACTCATGTAGATTTTACTCGAGTTACTCCTCCAGTTACTCCTCGAGTTACTCCTCGAGTTACTCCTCCAGTTACTCCTCCAGTTACTCCTCCAGTTACTCCTCCAGTTACTCCTCCAGTTACTCCTCGAGTTACTCCTCCAGTTACTCCTCCAGTTACTCCTCCAGTTACTCCTCCAGTTACTTACTCCTAATGAACACACACTATTCATAAGATTCTATTTTAATTCATAAGATTCTATTTAGTCAATTGTAGCCTATTCGTTCAAAGCTTTACCTGCATAAAACGCTAAATTTGTTAAAGCATAAATGACGGTGCAGAGAGTGCAAGAAATAGCAATCGCTCTTGGAAGGTTTCTGAAAGGAATTGAACAATTTTTAAGATAGGTTTGCGATTTTAAGATTCCCTCTTTCCGTTTCTTTCAAAATTTCTTTCTTTCAAAGTAAGTTTCTTTGAAAATCACTTACTTTGTCGGATCGATCAGCTCCTCGGTAACAAAATTCAAGTAATTCCATCCATTGTACGCCCAAAGTCCCGAATAGAAAGCCAACGCCAAGCTTCCCATTCCATACCTTGACCCTTCGAACATGTTCTCGAATGAGTCAGTGTAGGCTACAATCATTTTCGTTTTGATTTTCGATTAAGCAATCACTCACGAGTTCCAATCAACAACAAGATGAAGCCGGTGAAAATGATCAATGCAAGAGCGAAAAGTTTTGCCATTGTGAAAACGTCTTGAACTTTGCCAACGAGTTTCACTGAGGCACAGTTGACCATTGCGAGAAGCACTTAATTCAATTTTTTTGAAATCTAACTTATTTCTAAACATTTATAGCAATTATAGACCAATTAATGGCCCCGAATTATTAAGTTTTTAGAAAACTAGCTAGGAAATGTCTAACTTATTCTAGAAGTATCAAGTGTTATATAGAGAATTGTAGCCCTTAATCTTGGCTACATTTATCTACAAAAAGCTTCGCAATCGGATGTATACAGCTCATTTAATAAGTCCTTGAATAAGCGCTAGTCCGGCGAATCTGTCATTATCCTCCTTTTTTCTATTAAAAATTGTTAAGAAAAGCTTTTCAATGTTTCTTTAATGCAAAAATAGCGTTTAATATTACTTAGTAACATTAAGAATCACAATTAAATGTTTTGGTTTTAGAAGAGCAAAAAGGCAAAGCAATTATAGAATGGCCGCGAATTAGACACGAAACTTTTTAGAAAACTAGCTGGAAAATGCCTAACTTATTCTAGAAGTATCAAGTGTTATATAGAGAATTGTAGCCCTTAATCTTGGCTACATTTATCTACAAAAAACTTTCCAATTAGACTTATACAACTCATTTAACAAGTGCTTGAATGAGCGCTACTCAAAATGTTTTTGGTGAATCTGTCATTTTGTCGCTTTCTCGATTGCCGTTACCCTGTACTACAGTCTTATGAGTGAAATAAATGTAAATGCAAATTGCTTACAGATACAAAGAGCAGCCAGCACTTGCAGTGTCGGAAACGGTGGTTCACAGTTGGGAAAGATCGGTTTGAGGATGTAGGTGGCGAAAGTGATTGCGACACATGTGATTGTACAAGGACTAAACTGAACTTTGTGTGGCGAATAGGTGGGGTGAAATCGTTTTCAAATTACTTCTCCATTTGATCTCATTTCCTCAATAAAGTAGGCTCCCCATTTTCAACTGAATATCTTCGTTTTTTCCCCGTTTAACCCATTCGAAACTTGTGCAGCGAATAATCGCTGCAGCAAAAACTCAGGAACGGACCGCTGCAGCGATTATTCGCTGCAGCGCTAATTGAGCTATTTTCATTCAATTAATTGCTTTTTTTTTTGCTGTTTTTCAGCATTACATATATATTCCAATTGTAACAGATCTACAAATTACCTTGGCAAAAAAGACGTGTCATATTTACCCGGAATCAATGCAGCTTCTGGTTTGGCATTGAAATGTTCCATAATAGTGAGCACGTGTGGCTGAGTGAGCACGTGTGGCTGACTGGTTAAGTGTCTTTTATCTTAATCGGAAGGTCGAGGGTTCGAACCCCACATGCGACATGGTCACCCCCTTCGGATTTCCTTTCCCTTCGGGTTGAGAGGTTTTCCGGAGGGCAGTCTGGTGGTTGTGGCCCCAGTTCTTTAAAGTGACAAGCCACTCCTTCATCGTCATCTTCCCTTCACCACCAAAAAAGCTATTTAGTTCCCCATTGAGTTTAGGGTTAGGGAGCCGTCTGTCATGACGTGGGTTAAGTTAAGATATAGCCTAGTATTGTGTGTGTCGTTGTATTGTGATTGATATATTTCGTGTATGCGATAAATTCACCACTGGTAGCCCCAGTCGGTATTTTTTAATAGCTCTAATCTTATAAAGCCAGAACTGGATCCGGCAGCCTCTGGATCCCCTGCAGGATCCAGTTCATTATCACAAAAACGCAAGCTTCGAAGAATAGATTCAAATTTTGCTCTTGACATAATGTGGGACATGTGGGAAAATCCTCCTAATCCAGGCCTGCTACTCCAGTAGTCATCCTCAATAATTTGACGATTCCCATTTGAAGATACAGAGCCAGGAAGAGCTTGAAAGATTTTGCATCGAAATCCTGCCAGTTTGTTTTCCTTTTTCCATGTTTATTAGATTCGTCTACTAACATTTTGATTAATTTGTCGTCGATGAAATAAGAATAATAATCGATAGGATCTTGAAAAGTACTGAAGTCAAATCCAAATCGTTCTTCATCAAAAATAAATGGTGTAGGAGACTCTCTTAAATCTTTCCAGCCATAAATAAACTACTTCGGAGTCAAAAATGTCAAAAAAAGGGCTTGGTCCGCAGACGAAAAAAAAAAGAAAAAACGCTACGGTTTCGAATGGGTTAAGCTATGAAATATTTGCTGTTTCTAGTCTTCTTTTTAATTGTTGCAAGTCATTCACACATTTGTGGTATAAAGTTTGTTTGTTTGTTTGTTTGTTTGTTTTCCTTTTGTCTCTTGCTCGTGTGATAAGTGTAAAAGTTGCCCTAGCAGAGAAATCTTTCGTACAATTTGATTGAAATTTGATTGAAATTTGAAATTCTTGGCTAAAGCTAAGTCTTTGGCAAATCGAAATGACACAATAGAACATTATAGTGACTTTAAACCCACCGAACAATGATACACTCGATCCACATTCGGAGAAATCCCATCAGTGGCCCAAATGCAGCGTAAACGTAACTAAATTTGACTGTAAAATGGTGTTGAATACATCGAAAACTTACGCATAATCGCCTCCACTTTCTCGAATGAACGTGCCCAACTCGGCGTAACAATAGGCACCGATTGCCGAGAAAACCCCGCAAATGATCCAAATGAGTAAAGAAAGACCGACAGAGCCAGCATCTAGAAAAGAATCTTTTCTATCATCTTTTCTAGAAAGTTAAATAGATCGTTTTTTTCTAAGGTTGATTCTAAGGTGATCAAGAATGATTTGCTGCAGATTAAGAATGATTTACTGATTGCGAATCTCGAATAGCAGTGGATCGAGAAAGACAGATTGAACTTCGGAATAGTGGCTAGAGAAGTCAGACTTTACTGTGGCTAAATGGTTAAAGGCTTACTATGCAAAATAGTATAAGAATTTGTGAAAATCAAAATATCTTTATGAAAAATAGAAGCAAAAAGTTCGAGGGGATTCGAACTCACTAAAAAGTACTCCATCGGTTTTATAGACAGGCACACTATCCACTAAATCGCGACCGCCATTGAAAGAGAAGCGTAAACTCAGGCCAAGACTGTATAGCAATCATTCAGCTAGCAAACTCAGCTCAAGAAGCTCTAGAAGCTCAAGAAGTTCAAGAAGCTCAAGAAGCTCTAGAAGCTCAAGAAGTTCAAGAAGCTCAAGAAGCTCAAAAATCTATAGCAAAAACTTTGATGCCAGAAATCTCGCGTTTGCAAGCTATTTAACTTTGATTACAGATTCGATTGCAAGCTTTGATTACAGATTCAGATTCCCCGTTTGATTTTCTATAGGATAGGCTAGGTTTTGTTTCGAATTCCCACAGTGACTCTTAGAGAAGCATCTTTTTCTGGACTGGGTCAGTCGATATCATCATTCATCATCAAATCAACACCTTCAACATCTAAGAATCAAAAGAAACACTCACGTTCATGTACTCCTTTTGGTGAGACAAAGATCCCAGAGCCAATAATGCATCCAACAATGATCATCACTCCATTGAATAAGGTGAGCGTTGGTTTCAAGCCGGTGCCCTAGAAAACATTGTACGATATTGTAGGGTAAAATTGTCAAAGAAAAGCCAATAGGTAGCCAATAGATAGCCAATAGATTAGCCAATAGATTCCCCAAAAGTTCACCTGTTGTTCTTGTTCCTCAGTCGGCGATTGGTAAATCGGTTTGTCGTCTTCATTTTCTCGGTGACCCATTTTTAGACCATAGACGATCTATTGGAAGCAATTGATTGATGTAAAAAAATCTAAATTGATACTTTAAATTATCTAAAACTCATGTTTAGTTATCAATTCAGAAGTTGAAATGGTTGAAACAAAGAATTCAATCATTTTTTTGAGACATTCAATTGAATTGAAAGAATTCAAAGTGTTTTTGAGGAAAATCTTGATTTCAACAAAGTTTTGAAAGCTAATCAGTCAGTTTAAAACTATTTATTTCCTAGAAAAGTATAGCTACAGTACTGGACAATGAAATATCATATTTGAAAAACGATCGTCACTTTCGCGCGTCTGTAACTCGCTTGTCTTTGAGTTTAAACTGTTAGTGTTCTACATTTTCTGAAAGCTCTTTTCAAGGGCTACACAATGGTAATATTAATATTTAGAAATACGGTAAAGACAAGGGAGTTACAGACGCGTGAAAGTGACGATCGTTTTTTAAATTTGATATTTCATTGTCCAGTAGTGTACGTCTTAAAATAAACAAATTAGTTTCATAAAAGCAATTTTTCGTTGAAAAGTTGTGCTAAGAATTAGTTAAAATCGAAAATTTTTGATCAAGTTGATCAAATATTGGGTTGTCCAGTTATGAATGCGCGTTTTTACCATTTTGTAAATTTCTCAAGATATCGGACAGCTGTATATGAGTGTTATATATCATTCGAAAGCTGAAGATCTCCTCTACATTTTGGAATAAAAAAAGTTTTTGAATTCATTCAACTTTTTGGGAAATTGACTGCACAAAGGGAGAGGTCGTTTTCGAAAAAATCCATTTTAGCTTAGATATTCCTCAAGTTTTATGATGTAAAATGGCCGCCCAGAAAAGAAAAGAAAAATAAAGATGCTCTGAAATTGTTATATTTTTTTAAAAGTTGTATTGATATATCTGTTGGCCAAAGATCAAACGGTTAACTCAATTTGAGCAGAGTCAAAACTTGATCCAAAGGCATCCTTCCATTTTGTAGAGAAAAGGAACCGAATTGTAGAGAAAAGGAACCAAATAGAGAAAATGAACCAAATTTAGAGAGCTAAGGGACCAAATCTGTAGAGAAAAGGAACCAAATCTGTAGAGAAAAGGAACCAGTAGAGAAAAGGAACCGAATTGTAGAGAAAAGGTCTTGATCCAAAGGCACCCTTCCATTTTTTGGCCACCTCCTCTTCTGTGCAGTCAATTTGCCCAAAAGCTGGACAAATTCAAAAGCTTTTTATATCAAAATGTAGAGGAGATCTTCAGCTTTCGAATAATACTCATATATATCTTTTTCTTGATTTCGGTATCTTGAGAAATTTACAAAATAGTAGAAAACGCGCATTCATAACTGGACAACCCAATACTAAACAAGAGAAAAGGTCAAAGCCAGGTTAAAACAAGCTAAATAGACCAAGACTGATAAATTTGAGTTTAAATTTTATCGAAATTGAACTCTGGCTTGTTTTGATTCTTTAGAACAACTCTTTTAACAAGCGAAAATTGATTTTACAAGAAGCTCCCGTTTGGAAAACTGTAAAATCAGAATTTCTTTTCATTTTACAAAAAGAAATCAATGTAAATAGGAATGTTTCAAAACAAAAAAAGATAGCAAAAAGCAAAACCAAATGGGGGATTGGAGAAAGTTTGTGCATCGACCTTTCCCTTTTCCTCTTTCCCCCTAATCCCAACTCATCGGCGATTATTGGTGGCTCGGGTTTAGAGCTAAAGTTGTTTAGAAACGATCGAACGGCTTATAGTTTTAGAGATAAACAAAGAGGTGATCTAAGATTAGATTTTGGTATCAACAAAGAATTTTATTCAGTGATCGAGAGAAAAAGACTACCGTAAATACTGTAATACTACCCCACCCCCATAATGACGGTGCGGAGCGTTGTGTAGTCTAGCTTTGGACGCGTTTTTCTCGGCACTGGTTTATGCTACAATCAGCGTTTAGATATCAAAAAATAGCTGAGATTCAGGGCTATTTTTTGATACCTAAGCGCGCATCGTAGCATAAAGCAGCGCGGAGAACGGGATGTTTAAAGTTAGACTACGCAACAATCCCGAAAAAACGCGTTTTTCTCGGCACTGGTTTATGCTACAATGCGCGTTTAGATATCAAAAAATAGCCCTGAATTTCAGCTATTTTTTCATACCAAAGACGCATTTTTTGAAAGTACGGGTGCTTTGAAAAAAATGAAATACTAAAAAACGTTTTGCGACTACGCGACTGTACGAGGGGGGTGGGGTACTATTACAGTATTTACGGTAGGTAAAGAAAAAGATATTGTAGCTAGGGAAAGAAAAGAATTTTGGAGAAGATTTTGAAAGGAAAAAGAAAATCGATAATTTCTATTAGTACAATATTTCAGCTTATCAATTGAAAAAGCATTCTTTTTGTTTCATACTTGAATTTTAAATGCTTAATTCGTAGTAATAGTATCTGTTTAAACCTCCTCGGGCACAATAGGAAGACGCCCGGAGAGACGTAGATATAGCTAAACTTGAGCTACGTAAGACAGTAGTTTGATGCTAATTTAGTGCCTTGTGAGAGTCTAATCGAGTATTGAGATTGGAGTGAAAGTGATCAAGACACTTCCGCGTATTCGTAGTAATAGTATCTGTTTAAACCTCACAATAGGAAGACGCGCAGCTCGACCAAGACCTAAGAAGTACGGATATGCGCCAGCTCTCGGGACTCAGAGATCCAGTGGAAGTGATCGAGAGAAAAAGACTCAGATGGGCCGACCACGTAGCCGATTTCGATAGCCAGAAGAACAGGCGACAGATGGATGGACGATGGACGATCACAGAGTGTCTATCATGAGACCAGAATAGGCCCATCGGAAGACCAGCAACGTGGTGAAGCACAAGAGTGGCAGAGGCGGTCAGGGAAAGGATGGCTAGAGTGCAACCACCACCAGCACAAGCAAGTCGAAGACTTCGAACCAGGAACAACCAAGATAGGAAACACTGGATGACAATAGCGAGGGATAGAGAAAGTCCCTTTATATATAGTAGATAGATCAAAAATATAGCCAAATTTAAGCCAGGAATTGATCCCAGCCCAACAAAAACGGCTCACAAGGAAATTAAAGTTTAAAAATAACAAATTTAAGTGTTGAAACATCAAAGGATGGAATTGAACCCAAGCAAAAAAAACGAGGCAACCGTATAGGAGTCCTCTACCCACTGCCCCACTGGTCCACAAATGGCTGGCATTAAAGAAGTTTTATCAGGGACTTTCGGCCACGAAAATTTCGTTTTTGGCTAGAATTTTAAAATATTTGTAACTTTTGATAGAGAACTGCTTCTCAAAAACGAAAAGCAGATTCGGAAACAGGGTGAAAGTTTGCATCGAATGATCTGGGTCTTGATCAAAAAACTAGCCTTGAATTGGTGCATTTCCCTTGTCAAAGTTGGTGTATTTCCCCCGTCCGCTTTCCAGATTCCAAAAGCAAAGCACTATATACCGAAAGGGTATGCCAGATCGCAAGCGATTGTGCACAAAGAACACCTCGCCATTTACCTTGGAATTTTTCTTTAGCTTTGTATTGGGTTGGGGAGAATGAGTCGGCGCCAAACTTTAAAGGGACTTTTTGCACACATAAAGCCTTCTTTAAACATACGTTTGGTTTCATCAAAAGGATCCACTATTTCTCTACAAAATCACTTTTGAGAGATTCCACAAAGCTTTTCTTTCGTGGAGTTTATGGACTCCCAAACACAGCTAGTCAAAATGGCAAAGAGTCCGACTCATCATTTGAACAGTTTCTTTCACATAAACCTTCTTTGGTGTTTATATAAAAAAGATAGAGCACATTCAATTACTTAAGTTGCCAAATTTGCAGGAAGATCCCACCAATGGTTTTTTCTAGATCACAGTTTGTAGGTTTTGTGAAAAAATGGCTTTTTCTTGAGCGGAGGCGCTGTTTGAATTTTCTTTTAAATGTCATTTTGTAGAGAATTAGTTAACCATTCTACTCATATCAAACGCATATTATTTGACGAAGTCGAATAGAAGTTTTAGACATTTTTTTGATTTTCGGCGCCGACTCATTCTCCCCAACCCAATAAATGGTACAAAAAGATGTTGAGCTCTAAATTCACAGGATCGGCGAATCGATTGGGCAATTCATTTTGAATCTATTAATTAAGAAATCGGGTTTAATTGTTACAGAAATGAAAACAATGAGAAAGAGTACTCATAAATTGTGTAAATGGCTTCATTCAGTGACCCGAATAATGTGTCAACAAGCGCTCATCTCTTTTGCTCACAAAAGTCAAGGTTGCTGGTTAAGAGAAAGACGAAACAAAAAAAGAGCTGGTTGGGGAAAAAGGATGATAAAGACAAGAAAGAATGATAAAGAGAAGAAAAGACTAGGAAAATCTCCCCGTATAAGATATATGACCATAAGAAAATGATCAATCCAAACATCGAGATATCCAAATTACCCATTTTGTACGTTTATGATCGGTTTGTTTGTTTTTGGAGATAATGGAAACTTAAAAAATGATTTCAAAGCTTCCATTAGCTACAAAAATTATTAACATTTTGCATTTGAGTCAAACATAGTCTTCATTTTGAAAAGCTTAAGCCACAATCCCTTAATTTTTTGAATAGAAAACTTGATTAAAGTCTAAACTCTAAACAGATACAGTAATAATTGATTTTTCTGAATTTGACACAATTTTCTGATAAGTACAAAGTCTACTAACAGTTAGTCTAGTTAACAGTTAGTCTAGTTAACAGTCAGTCTAGTTAACAGTCAGTCTAGTTAACAGTTATTCTAGTTAACAGTTGTTCTGGTTAACAGTTATTCTAGTTAAGAGTTATTCTATTTAACAGTTAACAGTAACATTTAACGGTAACAGTTAACAGCAACAGTCAACTAACAGTTAACAGTAACAGTTAACAGTGCCAGCTTGATTTCAAGTATCGTTTCAATATTTAAAATCAGTATTGTAATGGATGAAAAACCAGGCTCTGGCTTTAAACCTTGAC